CTACGAGCATGTTCCTTTCAGGTCCCTCAAGTAAACAACCTTCCATCTTCGGTGTGGTGCCCCACGCTCCGGGCAAGGATACACCTCCGTCATATATGCATAACCACCACTGTTATCAATCACAGCACCATCCTCAAGATTCACAAACATGTTTTGGTCATAACACAAACATACTACCCTCTCTCACCCCACTCGTATCTTGTTCCTCCTTAAATACTCTCGTCGTCTATCGACACACGACTAACTCTTCTTCCACAATTTTCTTCCCTCTCTCTATCACAGTGCATCCTAGTTCTAAGCACAACAAGGCGAGTGAGATGTATACATCGTCTTCCTCGGTTCACTCCTTACTCTTATTCCCTCGTGTCACATAATAACGTTAACCGCCCGCCTTCTTTCCCTCGTTTCTTCGATTTCTATATAGTTATAATGGCTGGTGACTTTAATGCCCAAGTAGGTAGACTAGGTGAAAAGGAAAGACATCTAGGTGGATGTTATGGTGTCGCGGCTCAAAGAACAGACAATGGCGACCGTCTGTTGCAACTGTGCTCAGATAACCAACTATTTCTAGCAAACACTAATTTTAAGCATAAGGAAAAACATCTTTTGACCTGGCGACCCCCCGAAGTCGTCTCAACGTTGGACACAACTAGATCATATCGCCATCAGCCACCGATGGAGGGGTTCGATAGAGGACTGTCGCTCGTTCTGGGGCACATGTTTAGACTCAGATCATACCCTAGTGCGAGCACGTATTTGTTTGAGGCTTGCTGGACGTAGGAAAGACACCGTAAGGAAGCCTCTTAGGGCTTTACTTGATGATAATCAAGCTAAGAAAATATTTCAAGAGGAACTAGAAAAACAATTAGGCGGCCATGCAAGTGATTCCCATCCGGAGTCGGGTTGGAATCATATCAAGAATGCTGTGGAAACAGCAATGATATCTGCTAGCAAGGTAAACCACAAGGCTAGGATGAAGCAGTGGATCTTTGTATGGAAATAAAAAACAATAATTCGTGAAACGCGAAAATAAAGAGGAATTGAAATTGATTATTACTGTCTGAAATAAGAAAAAGAAATACAGTTTGATTGTCAATTAATGTGAACAACAGCAAAAAAAAATAAGCTAATAATTCAATGTATCGAATTTCCAAAGAAAAAAATGTTGACGATTAATAACAATAAGCTATTTAGTCAGTCAGTCAGTCAGTTAGTCAGTTGTAACGTAGAACTACGTACGTATGTGTACATCAGTTCAGGTGGCCCCATACCACATGAGCACACACAGAGAGACGCAAATGTCAAATCAAATCCCATAGTGACGATAAAGATAGTAGATGTATTAATGGTAGTAATGAAGAAGACTAGTAGGGTTTGAAGATATTATTATTCAAGAAGTATGTGATTCAGTGACATAAGGTTAGAAAGACAAAGGTAGAAGTATGGACGAATCCAGAAGATTAGGATTTGAGAGCACACAACGAATGCATGCACTTGCGCCATTGCAAACGATTTTGAGCTATGTCATTCAAGGTCTCTAACCATCGATTATTATCATCTCGCGGACCCCAACCAGATAACCTACATGTACCAACATGACTCAGTCCACTTGTCAGTCACTTCGTGGATTTCTGTCATGTTTTGGTGTGGCCGCCCCTAGCTTTCTTCCAACCTACTCTTACACCACAAAACACAGCTCGACTAGGCAGTTGGTTGTTGTGGGCATACGTAACACATGTCCCAACCACCTCAACTGATGAAGTTTCAATACTTCATCTACTGATCTGCCATCCTTACCTAGTACCCGTTTCCTAATAACAGCGTTGCTCACTCGGTTGTCCCACGGTATTCGAGCAATGCTTCGAAGACATCTATGATCGAAAACCAATAACCGACGAGTATCTTCTACTCTCATTGGCCATGTTTCACAGCCATAAAGTAAGACGGAGCGAACCACTGCGCAGTACACTCGTCCTTTAGTCAGCAAACGGATATCTCGCCTACGCCATAAGTGACGCAGGTTGGCAAAAGCCAATCGAGCTTTCTGTATCCGAGCTGACATCTCGTCAGTCAACATATATATATATATATATATATATATATATATATATATATATATATATATATTAGTTAAGGCTTAGTAATATTATCTTGGTGAGTTTAGGAAGGATTTAATTTTGACCGATTTGATCTCATGTGTTGTTATGAGTATGAGAGAGGATATCACTTCCTGGCTGTCCACACTGTGTATGAGTGTTTCTTGAGGAATCTGAAAATGAAATCGGGTGAGCGTTGGTCTGAGTAACCTGAGAGTGTGACCGCAGAGCGATCCCAAGGGATAACTGCTTGAGGACGGTTACGTACGGCTTTTTATGGGATGTTTTGGAAATGTTAGCTCCGCTCTTCAAATGACCTTACCACCGGAGACAGAAATCTGTGAAGTTAAGTGACGTGTGACATTTTTAGGGTTGATCTTTTCTAACTTTTTCCGTTGATTGTGAGAAGTCAACATCGCTGTAGCTGCTGATTGTCTGAGGGAAACACCTTGCTGTTGTCACACCCATCCACAGTCAGTAGTACTACTTCGCCCTCAGACCTTGAGTTGCCGCTTTTAATCCTACCGTTCTGCAATCGACCTGCCTGGCATGGTAGTCAGTCAGTCAGCTACAATGTAAAACTTCGTACGTACGTATGTACATTAGTTCAAGTTACCATACCACATTATCACAGAGAGGTGCAATTGTCGATTTGAATCCTATAGCAGTAGAGGTAGTAGACGTATTAGAGGTGATAGCGTGGTTGGATCTAAAGGAACTCGTACTCCAATCGACAGAGCTCGATTGAGTCATCACAACACACAAGTCCGACCATCACGTCAAAGTAATAGCTACAGCCAGGTATCATTTTGGTATCCAATTCGAAGCAGTTTTAATTTGTAGGAACCGAGTCAATCAGTAATAGAAAAGAATAAGCGACAAGGATATAATTCATGAAAAAAGTTGAGTTACTGAATTAATCAAAGGATTTTTTCTTACTAAATTATTTCAGATTAAAGGGAAAGCGAACAATGACTGTACCTGCTGTGCTATTGAAAACAATTCTGAGCTATGTTACTAAAAGACTTTTTAAACACTGTTTACTATAATCATGTACAACTCAGTCAGATAATCTCTATGAATCAACCTATTTAGATTAGGGCCCGAACTTAAGACCATGATAAGTTATCGTTCATGTTATAGTGTGCAGTATCCAAGATCCGATAGTGATACATAAAATAACCCTTTGAACTGGTTACTTGAGTAAAAAGACAAAAGTGGAAGTGAAAGCCTATATAAACATCCATCCTTTTTAGAAAATGAATCCAGTTTTTGATTGGTTAGTTCATAACTCTAACACTATACGAGTGTGAAACATGGCTACTAAGAGTAGGAGATATTCGTAGGTTACTGGTTTTCGATCATAGGTGTCTTTGAAGTATTGCTCGTGTATCCTGGGACAACTGAGTGAGCAATTCTCTCATTAGGAAACGAGTACTAGATAAGAATGGCAGATCAATAGATGAAATCATCAAACTTCATCAGTTGAGGAGGTTGAGACATGTGTTACAAAGGCCTAACCACCAACTGCCTCGTCAAGCTATGTTTTGAGTTGTAGGAGTAGGCTGGAAGAAATCTAGGGGAAGCCAAAATCAAAACATGACAGAAATCTATGAAGTCACTGACAAGTGGACTGACCCATGTTGGTACATGTAGACTTCCTGGTTGGGCCAGTTAAGCGATGGTTAGAGACCTTGAATAACATGGCTCAAAATCGTTTTCTGTGGCACAGGTGTGTCAATTTTTTGTCGCCTCTCATGATCTCATGAACTCAAGACCTTTTCTTATCTCTCTTAAATTTTACTCCATTAGATTATACTTCTTGAATAATTTCGATTCCTAATCTTCTACATTACTGCTAATACTTATATTACAATCTGTGCTAATGAAGTTTGGCAACCTGAACTGATGCACGTGCATACGAACTTCTACGTTATAACTGACTGACTGACTGACTGAATCCGTAAACCAAATAATTGAACATTAACCCTACTATAAATTACCTCATTCTACATAGATTTTTTTGGATAATTTTCTCCGTAATCACTTGATATATATATATATATATATATATATATATATATATATATATATATATATATATATATATATATTAGCATTACGGGGTTGTGAAGATTGTTAAGTTACACATTCCTTTTGAAACCATGAATCGATCAATGTTAGACCAACACCATTAGACAAACCTGGAAGCACTGAAAAACGGCCGTTTTATCTTACTGTATGGCACTACTTATCAGTGGCAGTGCACATCCACGACTCCTGCACCTCGCACAGGATTCGAACCCAGGACCTTCGGTATTGTGCGCAAAGGCCTAACCTCTGGACCACTAAACCGGCGGCATCTAACGGTGTTAATGTCTAACTTCAATCAATTCACGGAGTTGCGCAACCTCATACACACAGTCTTCGGTAGTAGTTACTGTCTACACTCGAAAACAGGTTGAACGTCACTGGTCATGGACTTCCCACCACTAGAACTCGGAGAAGATTCCTCACGAAGCTAGTCACTCACTAGTGAGCATAGGTAATTAATTGCATTACAGGGTTGTGAAGATTGTTAAGTTATTTGTAGTAGTATTGAACATTTTGTTTTTTACTCTATTCATGTCTTATTTTCTTCTATTTTCTGTTCTGTTCTGTTTTTTTCTCTTTCAATTTAGCCAATTCATCGTCTTCGATTTGCACTATTAGTAATATTCACCATTACTTTAATACCATTATGTTTAATGGCAAGAATGCAAAGTTTAATTCGTTTAAATGTATTCACTTGCTTATTTTATGGTGTAGTTACTTTTCATGTAAGTTTTTGTATAAACCAAAAAGAAAAAGAATGCATACAATGTACATGTATAAATTATTTAAATTGTAACACTTTATACAATTCATGACTCGATCAGATTTTTAGACGTTTGTAGCACTGGATAGCAGCTGTTTCGTCCTAGTAATGGGACTCTTCAGTAACAGTAAACATATGCGATCCTTGCTTACGGGAATTGAACCCTAGACATTCGTGATATGATATATATGCTCGTCAATGTGGATATGCTTGAATGCTACTATTACGAGTTCATCTTACTCGATAAACGGTATGAAGATCAACGATACAGTGATACGATAGACTACTGCAATCCGAGCGTCCCTGACCCTGATAACTAGATCAAGTAGTCCTGATAATGCGTAGGAATGTATTCTACAGGTACCCAGAAAATACGAGGTCGCTAAACACTCAACTCAAGCTTGCTTATACTATGATAGAAACGCCCTTGGTTATCTATCAACCAATGATAGTCAAGGATTTTGTGGTGGGAAATGTAATCCCAAGGTCAACTGATCAGCCCATGCTCAAAAAATTAAAATCCAAAATTAGGTATTTTATCAAGTGAGTTCTGGGAATTTAACATCCCCAACACAGTTGTCTCTCCTTTATGGTAAAAGCACACTTCTTAAGTGTGATAACGTGAAAAACTGAATTGTAGGTAATAATCTTGAAGATACAGAGGAAGTTGACTATAAGGTTGATTGGGGGGACAAGTACTTAGAGTAGGGGGGTCAAACAGTCTTTTTGTGAATGTTTTTTCTTTTGATGTGTAATCTCCGTAATTTAACGTTGATAAACAGAAATTCATAAAAATATGGTTGAAAGATGCATGATTTTTTAAGGTCAACTTTTTCTAAACTCTATTTGTTTTCAGAAATATAACGTCTTTTCACCGATTCTGATTATCTAAGAATGTAACCATCATATTGTCGTCACACTCTTGAGATTATAACTTCACGTTCGAATTCGAAATGTATCATGCTTAGTTTTACTGTTGTCCAATCGACCTAGGCATAATTGTATTAAAATCTTAAGCAACGATTCTTATAGGTAATATAAAATGTACTCACTAGTGACTAACTTCATGAAGAAATTCATGCAGTTCTAGTGAGAAGACGTGACCAGTGGAGTTCAACTCTGTCGGGTGTAGGCAGTTACCTACCGAAAACAATAGGTGAGGTTCCGCAAACTCCTTAGATTGATGAGAGTTAGACATTAACACCGTTGATTGACGGCTCAGTGGTCGAGAAGTTCAGTGTTCGCTGTCCAGATCGAAGGTCGGTCCTAGGTTCGAATCCTGTGCAAGTAGCAGGAGTCATGGATCCGCACTGCTTATGAGTCCTGCACCCGAACCGAACAGCCATCCAGTGCTTGAAGGTTTTTACTGGTGGTCTAACAATGGCTCATTCATGATAATCAATTGATATGCCTGATCGATTTTCAAATACAGATGTGTAACAACTGCGATCAAGTTGACCAGCATGAAATCATAACTATTTTCCATATAAATAAAAACAATCGATAATTTATTTTCTCGCTCTTGCTCTTTCTCTCTCTCTATTCAAGATGATTTTTATACTCGGTCTACCTCGTTTAATTTCCAATATGCCATGGGAAGAATTGAATTGGTGGAAACCAGCCGGTTTAATTGAATGTATTCCAATATTTTTAGCTTCAATGTTTTGTCAAACGTAAGTTGTTTGTTGCTTGTTTTTAGATATTTTCGATCGATACTAGAGAGATAAATAATAATAAGAGAAATGAAACTTTGAATACAGTGTGTGTCCTATATTCAGTCAGATTTGTAAATGTTCCAGTTCGAATGTCTTTTGTGTACAACAGTTACTTGCTTACTTACTTACGCCTGTTACCCCCAATAGAGGAGCATAGGCCGCCCACCAGTTTTCTCCAACCAACTCTGTCTGTCCTGGGCTTCCCTTTACAGTTCTGTCCAATGTTTGTTCATTCCTCTCATATCGTTGTGTATTTCCCGGCGCAATGTATTCTTTGGTCTTCCTCTTTTCCTTTTGCCTTGAGGGTTCCATGTGAGGGCTTGTCTCGTGACGCAGTAAGGTGCTTTTCGTAGTGTGTGTCCTATCCACCAACTCCACCGCTTCTTCCTGATTTCCAACTCCACTGGAATCTGGTTTGTTCTCTCCCATAGTACGTCGTTGCTGATGGTGTCTGGCCAACGAATACGAAGTATTTTGCGTAGACAACTGTTCATAAACACTTGTATCTTCTGAATGATGTCTGTCGTATGTTTCCCTTCCATACAGTAGAACTATCTTGATATTTGTATTGAAAATCGTGATTTTGGTTTTGGTTGAAAGATGTTTGGAGTTCCAGATATTTTTCAACTGTAGAAATGCAGCCCTTGCTTTGCCAATCCGCGCCCTCACATCTGCATCGGATCCACCTTTCTCGTCGATTATGCTGCCAAGATATGTAAAGGTGTTAACGTCCTCCAAGGCATCTACTCAAGAATGATTTGGTTGGTGCATGTGTGTACAACAGTTGTTTATTGTTAATTTTAGTGTTATTGTATCGCAGTTACCACTGGTGTATGGTTGACGTCGAGGAGAGAGTCGGCTCTTCCTTTCCACATTGCTCTCATATGCTCATGTGCATACAGTAATTGCTGATGGAGAAGTTTACCTTCTTGTATGGCAGAGGCGTTGTTTATGTGAAATTGAAAGGATGAGAAATAAATTCCTAACTGGGGTTAGATGAGTGCAGAGGATGCATCACCTTAGTAGGTGAGTCGGGAGACGATGATTCCATATCACACTGGTGCACATGGTTTGCGAGAATCCGGAGGAAATAAATGTATTATGAAACTATTGTTGCTAACTGGCTACCATTAGGACTGTGTCTCTCCTGACACTGTTCCACTGTCTTGTAGATTAACCCTGAAGGTCAGAGGTTCGGACCGTGGTTTTCGAAGAATACCACTTGCTTTCGTTTAAGGAAACCTGAACAGTATTCCAGCTCATGCAGAGACCCATTTTTGTGACCCTGTGTATCAACAAATTTTCATAATTTAGTTAGATAGCTGTTGAGAACCAGAATCCGCCGAACTAATGTTTCGTCCTAGCATGTGACTTTTCAACAGTGTCCATTCACAACCCACCCCCCTCCATAGGTTGTCGATCTTAGGAACTTCTGCATTGAAACGTTATCCAGTGGTTTTTATGTGGATCGATGGTTTGGCCGTTATGATGTTGAGCTTTTAGTCACTAAATTCCTAGTTCGTTCTTTGCTCCACTTACACTGACTTAAACAACTGGTTAGTATCACTATGACACGTCACACTTAAAGTATAACTCGTAACCAAGTACATTAATCTCTGTTAGTGGGACATAGATGGAATTAAAGCGCATGACTACGTTGCTGCGCGCTGATTGGCTAATTTCCCAATCCAATCAGCGCCTGATCGATTCTTGGAAAACACGATATAAAATTCTCGTATTGTTAGCTGCACGCTGATTGGCTAAATCTAATCCAGTCGATCATGTGAATTTCTATCCAGAAGCTTCTCATGTAAATGCTATGAAGAAACTAACGTTGTATCTATTTTCGCCTTTGCCTTCGGAATCTTATTTCCATTTAACCTTACTATTTGGAATATAATCTTTTCCTGTTCAACCATGTTTTTTTGATTCTTTGGAACTTGTCCAGTGTATTGTGTGGTCAGAGAATACTAAACAATAGGATTTAGCTGGGAATTATTCTAAGCAAGCGTTACAATAGTCTCTATACCTATTGTCTACAAGCCCTTTTCTAGTCTTCATATCTATTCTGATCACACAGTGAACTTCACTCTCCCAACAGTCTTCACTCTCCCTCTCTCTCTCTCTCTCTAGTAGCAACTACCAGTGTTGACGCTCCGTTACCATACCACGTATAAGCCATCTTTTAAATAGCGTCCATCACATGTTTTTAAAAAGTTTGTATTATATTGCATTGTATCTATCAGTTAGAATTATTCTATTCACACGTATCATCTCACTATAAAGAAAAAAATGTTTTTAAACAGTAAATAATATTTGTTTACTTGTGAATATTATCAATATAAACAGATCAATACATGATTATTTGTCAATGTTTTGATCGATAATTTTCTCTAAATAAGAGAAAAAGAACAAAGACGTAGATTATCATATTTTGCATGAGATGATAGATTGATAGTAATAATATGAAGATCGTTGGTTTTCATTGTATTGTTTTACCTTGATATCATAAACGAACGAATCATTGTTAGGCAATCATTAATAGAAAGAAACCTGAAAGCATTGAAAGACGGCCGTTTTGTCCCACAGTGGGACTCATCAATGGCAGTGTGCATCCATGAATATTGCACCTCACACAGGATTCGGACTCAACACCAGTGGTCTTGCATGTGAACGCTTAACCTCTGAACCCCTGAGTCGGTATTCAACGGTGTTAATGTATAAATCTGAATAATCTAAGGATCATTATTATTATCGAATACTTCGATGCTTAACGAAAGCTCTTGAAGAGCAGACTAGAGAAAGCCAGGTTGGTTTTCGACCTGGACGTGGTTGTATAGACCACATCTTCACAACTAATCGATCAGTCAGATGCAACGTAGAACTTCGTACGTAAGTACATCAGTCCATACCACATCAGCACAGAGATGTAATTGTCAATTCAAATCCAATAGTAGAAGAGGTAGTAAAGGTATTAGAAGTAATCGGAGAGGTTAGGATTAGAAGATATTATTCAAGAAGTATGATTCAGTGAGAAAAGTTTAGAAAGTCAAAACTAGAGGTGTTGAAGAATCCAGAAGATTAGGATTTGAGAAAACATGTAGTCTAGAACGAGGTTTCAAGAGACCAGGATTGACGTTACGTGAACTCGCATCGTTTGCATTAGCGGTGCAGTCAGATAAGGGAATGTGAGTAGAGTTAGTTGTGGAGAGAAGAGAGGTATGTGTGGGTGTAGGAAGGATTTGATTTCGACCGATTTGGTCTCTCGTGCTGTTACGGGTATGAGGGCGGTTATCACTTCCCGGCTGCCCACACCGTGGAAGGTTGTTTCTTGAGGAACCTGAAAAGGAAGGCAGATTAGTGTTGGTCTTGGAGACCTGGGAGCGTGACCGCAGAGCCCAAGGGACAACTGCTTGAGGCCGGTCACGCACGACCTTTTTATGAAAGGATTTTTGAGTATTAGCTCCGCTCTTAAAGGCCCTTAGTGGGCACCCTTACCGCCGGAGACGGAAATCCGTGAGGTGTGGCATTTTTAGGGTCGACCTTTTCTAACCCTTCCTTTCTTACTTGTGAAAAGGCAGCATCACTACAGATGCTGGTTGTTGTCCGAGGGAAACACCTTACTGCTGTCACACCCCTCTGCAGTCTGTCAGCAGTATGCCTTCGCCCTCAGACCTTGAGTAGCTGCTTTTAGTCTCATCGTTCTCTAATCGACCTGCCTGGCATGGTAGGACCTTCAGGAACATATGTTCCAGCCAGTATAGCTCGGTTGTGTCATCACAATAGGCAAGCCCGACCACCACATCAAGGTAGCAGCTACGGTCGGGAAGCATAGACCACTGACCAGCATTCTCCAACTTACTTTATCCTCCGACTTCCTTTTTCAGTTCTATCCGATTGTTCTTGATTCTTCTCATGTCTATCTCCATTTCTCGACATAATGTGTTCCTTGGCCTTCCTCTTTTCGTTGGCCTTGAGGATTCTAATTGAAGACTTGTTTTGTGACGCAGTTGGATGCTTCATGTAATGTGTGTATCCTATCCGCCTCCAACGCTTCTTCCTGATTTCTCACTCCGTTGGAATCTGGTTTGTTTTCTCTCACATAAACAAACTTAAAATGTATTTGACCTATTACAAATCTCATTCTAAAGCAAAACAGTTTTCCGTTTACTAATTCGATATAGTTTTATTAACTAAATTTTGTAGTTTCCGAATCAAATTATGCTGTAATTTTTTCTCTCTCCGTTTGTTTTTCTATTTCACAGTCAATTACATGTTACATCAACAAAATGTTTTCAACCAACATCGTCAAATATGCGATTCATAGTTCGTGTTGCACTGGTTACAGTCGCCATCGTTTATGGATTTGTAAGTTTCTGTGGCGTGTAGTGGAAAAAATAATTCATTTTTTTTATTCTGAACAAAAATGTTTTTTTCATGATGGAATGTAAGCACTGGACCGCTGTTTCATCCTATTATGAGACTCATCGGTGGTGCACATCTACGTCTTTCGTTACGGGGGGATATCAAACCCAAGACTTTCGGTCCTGCATGACTTCACCTGTTGTCTTCAGTGGGTAACTGCCTCACACTCGAGACGGTTGAGCTGCACTGGTCACTCGTTTCTCACTAAAACTTCGAGGTTTTCTTCACGAAGCTAGTCACTAGTGGGCACATGATATTTTTATTATAGGGTTGTAGGGATAGTTGAGTTTCATTGAAAGCATGGGTGAAGTGATATGCTTGAAACTATTACGAGTTCACCTTACTCGGTAAACGGAGCGAAGACAAAGGATGCAGTGACACGATATGCTATTCTAATCCATTATCCCCAGCCCGACTAACTATATCAAGAAATCCTGATAAGACGTAGAAAGTGCATTCTACGAGCACTCAGAAAATTTGAGGTTGACAATCACACAAATCGAGTATATTTATGCATGATAGATACGTCCTTGTGAGAGCCACAAAAATAGCATACTAAAATAATCCATGAACCCGTGATGACAGTCAAGAATTTTTCCGATTGGGAAATTTAATCTCAAGATCAACTGATCAGCTTATGCGCGAAAACACACATAAAAAATCCAAAATTATGACTTTTTCCATGTGAGTTCTGAGTCAACTAACGTCCCTAACAAATCGATTGATGACAAGTAATGACTCTTCATGAACTGAGGTGGTTAAGACATGTGTTATGTTATGCCCATTTGATAGCGTGGATAGGAAAACACTGTGGAGGCTTCTTCGACACTACGATGTGCCTGGGCCATGTTTGCTTACTCTCACCCTTACTCTTTCTCCTGTTGATCAACTGGATTATGAAGACGTCAACATCTGGAGGGAAGTACGGTATACAGTAGACAGCCAAGATGCAGCTGGACTATTTGGACTTCGCAGATGATTTGACTCTTCTATCTCACACGCAACAACAAATGCAAGAGAAGATGACCAGTGTAGAAGCAGCCTCAGCAGCAGCAGGTCTCAACATACATAAAGGAAAAAGCAAGACCATCCGATGCAACACAACATGCACCAATCAAATCACTTTTGATGGAGATGACTTGGAGGTTGTAAGAACCTTAACATATCTAGGCAGCATCATTTACAATCAAGATAGATACGATGCAGATGTGAGGGCGCTGATCGGCGAAGCAAGGACTTCATTTCTACAGTTGAACAACATTTGGAACTCAAAACAACTATCAACCAAAACCAAAATCAGGATTTTCAATACAAATGTCAAGACAGTTCTACTATATGGAGTGGAAACTTGGAGAACTACGAAAGCCATCATCCACAAGATACAAGTGTTCATTAACAGTTGTGTACGCTAACTACTTCGGATTCGCTGACCAGATACCATCAGCAAAAACCTGCTGTCTGAGAGAACAAACCAGATTCCAGTGAAGGAGGAAATCAGGAAGAAGCGATGGAGTTGGTGTACAGGACACACATAGCGGAAAGCACCTAACTACATGACAAAACAAACCCTCACTTAGAATTCTGAAGACCAAAGGAGAAGAGGAAGGCAAAGGAACATATTACTCCGATAAGCAGAGACAGACATCAGAAGAATGAACAGTTATTGGACAGAACTGGAGAGGGAAGCCCAGAACAGACAGAGTTGGTTGGCGAAAACTGGTGGGCTGCCTATGCTCCTCTATTGGGGGTAACAGGCGTAAGTAAGTAAGTAAGTATGTTATGCCCGACCACTTCGATTGGCGATTCTATCTGATGTAGGAATGACGCTGTGGAAGAAAGCTCGACTAAGGTTTGTTAATAAGTATTATTCTTACAGACTGACTACCCAACTGTGGTCCGCTTGATAATCGTAATCAGTAATTGGAAACTTTCAATAATTTAGCTCAAAGTTGTTTACAACTCTACTACTGTAATCAATGAAATGCAATTATGTTAGATTGGTGACAAATCTATCTCACCAATTACAATCGATAAAAGTCATGTGACATGATCAAATTGATTGAAATTCAACACATATAAAACCATTGAATAATCATAATAATAATAACAGCAGAATTCATGCCAATTTACAGATCAGAGCAGCTTAATGTAGATAGATAGAAATATAATATTCACTGTAGAGAATATAGAGATATGTCTGTTTGATGAAGTGTTCTAGTTTTTACAGGAATGCATGAGAGGCATCAGTTAGGACAAACATTCTATTACTCTGTGTTTTATGAATAGTGTATTTTCTGAATTGCTTCCAGTGTTATATCAGTCTTAATGTAGAACTTCCTACGCACGTACATCAGTTTATGTTGCCATACCACATTATCACACAGAGATATAATTGTCAATTCAAATCCAATAGTAGTAGAGGTAGTAAAAGTATTAGCAGTAATCGGAGAGGTTAAGATTAGAAGGTGTTATTCAAGAAGTATGAGATAAGTTTAGAAAGAAAAAGATTATAGGTGTTGAAGAATCCAGAAGATTAAGATTTGAGAGAACACAGAGAATAAATGCACCGGCGCCATTGTAAACTGTTTTGAGCCATGTCATTCAGGGTATCTAACCATCGATTATTATCATCTCGCGGACTCCAACCAGGTAGTCGACAACTACCAACATGACTCAGTCCTCTTGTCAATGACTTCATGGATTTCTTCCACGTTTTGGTCTGACCGCCCCTAACTTTCTTCCGGCCTACTCCTACACTACAAAACAAAGCTTGTCGAGGCAGTCGGTGGTTAGGCATACGCAACACATGTCCCAACCACATCAACTGATGAAGTGTCACTACTGCGTCTATTGATCTGCCATTCTTACCTAGCACCCGATTCCTAATAACAGCATTGCTCACTCGGGTGTCCCACGATATACGAGCAATGCTTTGGAGACACCTGTGATCGAAAACCAGTAACCTACGAATATCTTCTACCCTCACTGGCCATGTTTCACAGCCATAAAGTAAGACGGAGCGAACTACTGCTCAGTACACTCGTACTTTAGTCAGCAAATGGATATCTCGCCTACGCCATGATGAAGTTTCATTACTTCATCTATTACGTACATCAGTTCAGGTTGCTATACCACATTAGTACGGACGCAATCGTTAATTCAAATCCCGTAGTCGTAAAGATAGTAGAAGTATTAATGGTAATGAAAAAGAATAGGGTTCGAGGATATTATTCAACAAGTATAATCTAGTGAGATAAATTTGAAAAGAGATAGATGAAAGTCATGAGTACTTCAGACGATTCGAATTTGAGAGAACACAAACAATGGATGCACCTGAGTCATTTCAAACGACTATGAACCATGTCCTTTAAGGTCTCTAACCATCGATTACTATCGTCCTGCAGACTTCAACTAGGTTAGTCTTCATCCACCGACATAACTCAATAGAAATCATGAATGAATCACTGTTAACTTACCATTAGAAACCTAGAGCCATCACTAGACATCTGTTTCTTCCTGCGATGGGACTCATCATTGGCACTGCGCATGTATGACTTTCACGAACTCTTAACCTCTAGACTGTTGAGTCGGTGTTCGTTTCTAACTCTGATCGAATCCTGTGCGAGTAACTGGAGTCATGAATGCGCACTGCCACTGATGAGTCCCATCACAGGACAAAACGACCGGCCAGTGGTACCACTGTAGTGAACGAGAACACAGGTGGGGGCAACCGAATTGATTGTATTTAACGAAAATTACAGAGTTAGTCAGTAAAATTGGACAACCATATCGTAAATCGTTCATTTGAAAAATAGCAGTTCATCATATCGAACTGGACTGTTCCTGTTGCAAAACATCAATCCATTGTCGCTATTCATGCGTTTCATACAAATCCCATTGTGTTCTTCTAACTCTTCCTTTCTCTCGATCTTCCACCCATCTTCTGCTGCCACCAGACATTACGTTGACACTCACGTCATATACTACTTATAAGTAGCTCACACCACAGTACTACTTCCACAACGAATCATTCATGATTTTTAATGTGCTTGCAAACAACCATCTTCATAATGTCATATTCAAAATGCCTATTTCATGTTTAATATAATTAGCGCTAACTCATTATTATTATTAGTAGTAATATTGATTATCTTATTTCTTTTATAGTTTGGTTTCTTTGGTTATGTGGCATTTATTAATTCACAAAGGACAACATTATTCTCTGGTAATATTTTCTTAATGTATCCAGATGATTTACGTAGTTATTGTATACGTATTGGATTTTTATTAACAAATATTGTTTCAATACCATTGATTATTTGGCCATTACGTCAAACTGTATATAATTTATGTTGTCAAAAGGTAAGATGGTTGAAATTTCACAATGTATTATCCTTTGTGTTTATGATTTCTATTTGTAATTGGTTGATGCGCGCACTGATTGTGTTTGTGTTACGCCTGGCATGCTTGAACTATCACGAGTTTACCTAGTCGGGAAATGAGAGTGAGGATCGAGGATCCGGTGACACGACATGCTCCTCAAATCCGATTATCACAACCCCCATATTTAGTTAAAATAAGAAGACGTGATATGAAGTAGAACCTGTATTCTACAAGCTATCAGAAAGTACGACGTCCTAATCCAGAAGAGAATCAGGATCCCGAACTAGGGATCCGGGACCGAGCCCTGGTCCTGGTCATAAAACGTTGCACATAATGCGTATTTATACATTTAGGTCGAATAGGAAACAGCATCTAAGTCTCAGGCACTGACAATTAAGACGACCAATAAGAAGTAACATTTGAAGTGTCATTGATGGTCAGGACAACCAATAAGAAAGAACATTTGAAATGACATTGATAGTTCGGATGACCAATAAGAGACAACATTGAAGTATTTGACTTTGACAGTTAAAAGGACCATAATTTTGACCAATAGAAATCGACCAATAGGATTTGACCAATAATTCTCTTAGGATATTGGATGAATATCCTAACAGTTTGTATCAACTTTTTGAATTATTTTTATTTTCGAGGTTGTACAAAATCCTTAGATTGCTCTGAGTTAGATATTAACACTGTTAGATACCGGTCGACTCTGTGGTTCAGGAGGTTAAGTGTTCGTGCACGAGACTGAAGGTCCTAGCTATGATTCCTGTGGGTAACAGGAGTCGTGGATGCACACTACCACTGATGAGTTCCATACCATGACGAAACAGTGGTCTAGTGCTTCCAGGTTTCTAACAATGATATGCTTGAAACTAATACGAGTTCACCTTACTCGGCCAGTGGAACGAATATCAACGATACAGTGACACGATAGACTATTCTAATCCGATTGTCCCATGCCCTGCTAACTAAAAGAAGAAGTCTTAATAAGACGTACAGAAAACGTATGCACAAGCACACAGAAAATACGAGGTTCATCAATCAACCAACAGCAACGTAGAACTTTGTACGTACGTACATCAGTTCAAGTAGCCATACCAAATTAGCACAGAGATGTATTTGTCAATTCAAATTCCGTAGTAGTAGAGGTAGTACAGATATTAGCAGTAGTCGAGGAGGTTAGGATTAGAAGATATTATTCAAGAAGTAGAATCTGGTGAAATAAACTTAAAAAGATGAAGATAAAGTAATGAGGAACTCCGAAGGTTGGGGAACATAAAGAATGAATGCAACTGCGTCATTGCAAACGATTTTAAGCCATGTGATTCAAGGTCTTTAACCATCTATTACTACCATCTCGCGGGCCCCAACCAGGTAGTCGACGCCTACCAACATGACTCAGTCCACTTGTCAATGACTTGATGTATTTGTGCCAGGTTTTGGTCTGGCCGCCCCTAGCTTTCTTCCAACCTACTCCTACACTGCAAAACAAAGCTCGACTAGGCAGTCGGTGGTTAGGCATACGTAACACATGTCCCAACCACCTCAACTAATGAAGTTTCATTACTTCATCTATTGACCTGCCATCCTTACCTACAAAGCTTTCCTAACAACATTGTTGCTTACTCGGTTGTCCTGTGATACACGAGCAATGCTTCGAAGATACCTATGATCGAAAACCAGTAACCTACAAATATGTTCTACTCTGACTGGCCATGTTTCGCATCCATATAGTAGGACGGAGCGAACTACAGCGCAGTACACTCGTCCTTTAGTCAGCAAACGGATATCTCGCCTACGCCATAAGTGACGCAAGTTCGCTAAAGCGAATCGAACCTTCTGTATTGGTGCTGAGATTTAGTCACACCACACCAGGCCATCAGCACTGTTGAGACTCCGAAGATAAGTGATGCAGTCCACATGCTCAACTGCTTCACTTCCTATCACTAGTTCAAATGTCGATGCAACGCAATCCTGAAGTAACATTTTACATTTCTAGAGAGAGAACCTCATCCTGAACATGTTTGCATTGTTGCTTAGCGTAGTCAGCAGACACTGCATTTTGTCAGCATCTTCACCAAGTAGACCTATGTCATCACTCGTTCATAACTACTGCAAGCATTATCACTTTGTCTTGTCTTACTGTCTATTACCAATTATTTGTTGTATTGAAACCTATCAGCAAGAGATACACTCTACAATCGTCTAAATTCAAACTTAGACATCACTACAACTGTAGTGAAGGAGAACACAGGTGAGGGCAACCGAATTGTATTTATCGCAAATTACAGAGTTACTCAGTAAAATAGGAAAACCATATCGTAAATCGTTAATTTGCAAATCTTCAATCCATTGTCTGACATTTCACTATTCATGCGTTTCATAAACACATTCCATTGTGTTCCCACTCTACTTCCTTTCTCTTGATCTTCCCCCATCTTCTGCTGTCACCAGACATTACGTTGACACTCACGTCATATACTACTCATAAGTAGCGCGCACCACACAACTATTTCACTTACCTACTCTTACTCTTATTATTATTATCAAACTTAACAACACCGCTAACTATACAATAGGGTCATCATGAACCAGTTATTGATCGATTACAAATTTTAAAAAAAAAATAACTAAGGTCATTTTGGCATACTACCATTGTTTCTTCTCTTTTAATTAGAATGATTGTTTTGTTCAAAAAAATGTCATTGATTCCTTTCTAAGTCGGTCTCTTTTTTGCGTTCTGACTTACTTTTGCGACAAACACACACACACACATATATCTAAAAAAATTCTTGGAATGTTTATCTTCTATAATTATTGTAACGCTTTGCTTAGATAATTACCGGCTAAATCCTATTGCTTAGTAGTATTCTCTGACCACACAATACACTGGACAAGTTCCCAAGAATCAAAAACACGGTTGAACAGGAAAAGATTATATTCCAAATAGCAAGGTTAAATGGAAATAAGAAGCCAAAGGTGATGGCGAAGGCAAAGAAGGCCAAAAATAGATACAACGTTAGTCTATTTATAGCCTTTACATGAGAAAGCTTCTGGATAGTAGTAATTCACGTGATCGACTGGATTAGATTCAACCAATCAGCATGCAGTCCAGCAATACGAGAATTTTCTGCCCTGTTCACCAAGATTCGACCAGGTGCTGATTGGATTAGGAAATTAGCCAATCAGTACGCAGCAACGTAGTCATGCTTTATAATTCCATCTATGTCCTACTAACAATAATCTTTCTGTTTCTATTTTTCTCTTCTCATTATAGCGATTCACTTCATTTGGTGTTGATTTAGAAATGAATTCCAGTCCAATGTTTACAGATGAAATACCAAGAAGATTTATGCAAAAAATTACTATCGCATTATTGTTAATATCGTTTTTGCTTAGTTTAACAACAGATAAAAGTAAAGTTTTTTTTCTGGTTTTCAAAATAATTTTTTTATGATACTTTGAAACTATGTATGATTGATTGTTAGATCATCATTACTAGAAACTTTGAAAGTGTTGGAAGACAGCTGTTTCGTCTTGGTGTATGAGACTGACTACTCATGAGTAGTGGCATTGCGCATCTACGACTTCTGCTACTTGCACAGGATTTGAATTCAAGACGTTTGGTTTCGCTTGCGTACATTTAACCTCTGGAGCAATGGGATGACTTCAGACAGACGGACAGACAGATACCACGCAGAACTTTGTACATCAGTTCAGCTTGCCATAACACATCAGCACAGAGACGTAACTGTCAGTTCAAATCCAAGAGTGATAGCGATAGTAGAAGTATTAGCAGTGATGGAGAAGACAAAGGAGCGAAGATATGACTTGAGAAGTATAATTCAGTGAGATAAATTTATAAGGATAAAGATGGAGATTATGAGGAATTTAGAAGTTTAGAATTAGGGAAAACACAAAGAGTAGATGCACCTGCGCCATTGCAAACGATTCTGAGCCATGTCGTTCAAGGTCTCTTACCATTGGTGACTTATGCCTCGCGGACCCCAACCAGGTAGCGTACATCTACCAACATGACTCAGTTCACTTATCAGTGACTTTATGGATTTGTGCCATGTTTTGGTCTGGCCGCCCCAAACTTTCTTCCATTCTACTCCTACACCACAAAACATAGCTCGTCGCGGCAGTCGGTGGTTAGACGTAGGCAGCACATGTCCGAACCACCTCAACTGATGAAGTTTCAATTCTTCATCTATTGATTTGCCATCCTTAACTAGTAACCATTTCCCAACAACAGCATTGCTTACTCGGTTGTCCCACGGTATACGAGCAATGCTTCGGAGATATCGATTATGGAATACTAGTAACCTACGGAAATACTCTACTCTTAACGGCCATGTTTCGCATCCGTACAGTAGGATGGAGCGAACTGCTGCACAGTACACTCGTCCTTTGGTTAGCGAGCGGATATCTCGCCTGCGCCATAGGTGACGCAGGTTGGCAAAAGCCAATCGAGCCTTCTGTATCCGTACTGAGATTTCGTCAGTCACCAGGCCATCAGCACTGATGAGACTCCCAAGATACGTGAAGCGGTCTACACGCTCGACTACTTCACTCCCTATCACTAGTTCAGGTGCCGATACAACCTAATCTTGAAGCAAAATTTTGCATTTTGAGGATGAGAACCGCATCCCGAACATGCTTTCATTGTTGCTTAGGATAGACAGAAGACTGTGCATTTTGTCATCTGCACCGAATAGAACTATGTCATCGGCATATTCTAGAACAGTAAGCGATTTTCCTGGTGGAAAGTCGACTCCTGAAAATTCAGACGCTGACTAGCTGGGCTGACCTCTGAAAGTATTAATGTCTAGCTCTGATCAATGTAGGGATTTAACACAACCTCACCCATTTGTCTTCGGCAGTTACTGCCTAAATCTGGCAGGGCTGAACTCCACTGATCATTTGGCTTCTCACTAGGATGTTATGCTTGCCACCTGTTACTACACTTGAACTATTACAATTGTTGATCTTAGTCGGTAAACCAAAGCGAAGACAAATGATCCAGTGACGCGATAGGCTACTCTAATCCGAGCGTCTCAAGGTCCCCACTAAGTAGATGAAGAAGTTTTGACAAGACGTAGAAAGTGTATTCTACAAGCACCCAGAAAATACGACGTCGACAAGCACACAACTCGAGTTTATTTATACAAGATAGAAACGTCCTTGAGAGAGCCACAAAAATAGCGTACCAAAATACTACATCAGTCAATGACAATGGGAAATGTAATCTCAAGGTCAACTGATCAGCCCATTCGCGGAAACATAAAAGCCAAAATGAGGACCTTTATCAAGTGAGTTCTGGGGATCTAACGTCCCCAACATAGAACACGGAGAATTCCTTCATGAAGCTAATCCCGACTGGTGAGCTCAGTGATCCGGAGGTTAAGTACTCGCGTCCAACAGTCCTGCGTTTGAATCTTTCGAGTAGCAAGAGTCACAGATGCGCACTATTGATGAGTTCCATACCAGAACGAAACTATCGTTCAGTGCTTCCAAATTTTGAATGATGGTCTAACATTAATTCATTCATGAAATCAATGTGTAAAAACATCGATCTCCATAATACTATACTATACTAATTTGAAATGGTTTAATGAAAGTGCTCCATTGTTTGCAATGCCATTAAGTCCTAAGCTCGAATCCCATCTTAATTACTTTGATTTAGGCAACTATTTACCTCATACCCAATGAGTTTTTTATTATTAGTTCAAGTTCCAATGCTTTGAATCATCTTTGCGAAATGAAATCAACAATTATACATGTGACTTTGGAGTCGAAGTGATAATAATAGTGTAGTGAAGGAGAACACAGGTGAGGGCGACCGTATTGTATTTAACGAAAATTACAGCGTTACTCAGTAAAATTGGAAAACCATATCGTAAATTGTTAATTTGCAAACTATCGGTTCATCATATCGAACTGGACTGTTCCTGTTGCAAAACATCAATCCATTGTCACTATTCATGCGTTTCATACACAAATTCCATTGTGTTCCCACTCTTCCTTTCTTGATCTTCCCCCATCTTCTGCTGCCACCAGACATTACGTTGACACTCACGTCGTATACTACTTATAAGTAGCTCACACCACAGTAGTAGTCATGTTATCACTACCGTAGAAGTTCTATTCAATACTTTCACAAGTTAATACATCACATTAGCACAAAGACGCAATTGTCAATTCAAATCCCATAGTGTGGTATAGGTAGTAGAAGTATTAGCAGTAATGGCCAAGATAAAAGAGATGAGGAATTCAAAAGATTAGAATTTGAGAGAAGACAAACCATGGATGCACTTGCATTATTGCAAGCGATTTCAAGTCATGCTATTCAAAGTCTCTAACCGTTGGTTTCCATCGTCTATTGGACCCTAACCAAGTAGACTACACCTACTACCATCGCTCAGTTCAGTTGTCAGTGACTTCATGGATTTGTACCATATATATATCGGTTTGACCTCCCATAGATTTTTCTAGCCCACCTCTACACCACAAAACATAGCTTGTCGAGGTAGTCGTTGGTTAGTTATGCGTAACACATGTCCCAACGACCTCAACTAATGAATACCTACGACTTCGTCTATCGATTTGCCATCCTTACTGAAAACCGTCTGCAACGGCACAGTTGCATTCATTGTTTGTCGTCCCTCAAATTCTAGTCTTCCAAAATTCTTCATGACGGTTATTTTTTTTCTGTTTTTAAATTTATTTCACTGGATTACATTTCTTCAATAATATCTTCAAACCCTAAGCTTCTCCATTACCGTTAATACTACTACTGCATATGTTGTGGACGTTGGATCCGCAGAACACACTTGATCAAGGTCCTCATTTCGGCTTTTATGTTTCCACGCATGGGCTGACCAGTTGACCTTGAGATTACACTTCCCACCTGGAAAATCCTTGACTGTTATTGATTGATGGATTATTTTAGTATGCTATTTTTGTGGCTATCCAAAGGATGTTACTATCATGTATAAATAAACTCGATTTGTGTTCTCGTGGACCTCGTATTTCTGGCTGCTTGTAGAATACACTTTCTACACCTTATCAAGACTTCTTGATATAGTTAGTCGGGCCGGGAAAAACGGATTAGAGTAGCCTATCTTGTCACTGCTTCAATAGTCTTCGCTCTCGTTTACTGACTAAGGTGAACTTGTAATCGCATTCAAGCATATCAATTGACAAGCATAACAGCATCTTACCACTATATGGTTTGAATTTACAGTTGCAACTCTCTGTATGCTAAATTTGATATGGCATCTTAAACTGTGATGTACGTACCTATGTACAAAGTTGTACGTTGTAGTTATCTGAGTGACTGACTCACTCACTTAACCATCCTCCAATCACTTGATGTCCTATTGATATTCTACCTATTCTATCAAGCTCTGTGATCGTCTTCAAACCTTTCAAAAGTTTCATTATACTTTCTGAGAACCATCACAACACCATTCCCAAGTAGATTTGACATGTATGTCTAATAGATTTCGGTATTAGTTTCTACTTGATTATTAGGAATTTCACAATCTACATAGAAATGCAAAATGTTGCTTCAAGACTGGGTTGCATCGGCACCTGAACTAGTGATAGGGAGTGAAGTAGTCGAGCGTGTTGATCGCTTCACTTATCTGGGGAGTCTCATCAGCGCTGATAACCTGGTGACTGACGAAATCTCAGCACGTATACAGAAAGCTCGATTTGCTTTTGCCAATTTACGCCGTTTATGGCGTAGGCGAGATATCCGTTTGCTAACCAAAGGACGGGTGTACTGCGCAGCAGTTCGCTCCGTTCTCCTATATGGATGCGAAACATGGCCGTTAAGAGTAGAAGATGTTCGTAGGTTACTAGTATTCGATCATAGATGTCTCCGAAGCATTGCTCGTATATCGTGGGACAACCGAGCAAGCAGTACGGTCGTTAGGAAACGAGTACTAGGTAAGGATGGCAGATCAATAAATGAAGTGTTGAAACTTCATCATTCGAGGTGGTTGGGACATGTGTTACGTATGCCTGACCACCGAGTGCCTCGACGAGCTATGTTTTGTGGTGTAGGAGTAGATTGGAAGAAAGCTAGGGGCGGCCAGACCAAAACATAACAGAAATCTATGAAGTCAATGACTAGTGGACTGAGTCATGTTGGTAGATGTAGACTACCTGGTTTGTATCCGCGAGACGAAAGTCACCGATGGTTAGATACCTTGAATGACATGGCTCAAAACCGTTTTCAGTGACGCAGGTGCATCCATTCTTTGTGTTCTCTCAAATCCTAATCTTCTGGATTCGTCAACACCTCTACCTTTGTCTTTCTAACCTTATCTCATTGAATTATACTTCTTGAATAATATCTTCAAACCCTAGTCTCCTTCATTACCATTAATACCTCTACTATCTTTATCACTATTGGATTTGATTTGACATTTGCGTCTGTGTGCTAATGTGTTATGGCAACATGAACTTATGTACATACGTATAAAGTTCTTACGTTGCAACTGACTGACTAACTGACATAGAAACATAGCGATAATGTTGATGATGATGATTATCATGTATTTTTCCCCTCTATTTCTGTTTTCTCTCAATCTATCTTATTTTAGTTGAAGTAATTATTCGATATACAACTAGTATAGCTGGTTCATTGACTGGTTTCATTTTGCCAGCATTGGTACTACTTGTTGCTACCACCAACACCTCAGCAGCATCATCAACATCAACAACACTTACAGCGACAAGTAATAACAGCAGTAATCATCATGATCATGATCATCCTCATCATCACAAGTATAGTATTACTAGTGGCAGTAACAGCGGTCGTAGTAGTGTTCTTCCACGTTTTCTACAATTCAATCGCACCCAGTCAATCGGTGCTTATTGTCTTCTATTCGTTGGCTGTCTTTTATTCTCATTGGAGTTCTTCTCAGTACATCCTATCGATATTAATAATAATAATCATGAGTTAAATACTTTACCAATTCAATCGAAGTTTTATCCTACTCATACTACTACTACTACTACTACTAATTATAATCATCATCATAGTATTAGTAGTATCAATAGTCCTAATGATCAATCTGTCCAAATGAGAATGATGATTGCATCAAATTCAAAAATTCTACAACCAACAACCAATCATATGAAACATCCTCCTTCTTCTTCTGCTTCTTCTTCTTCTATATCAATGGACCAATCAAAATTGTCTCGTGAAACAATCGACTCCGCATCGGCACAAAATCATCAATTCACTATGTCAACAATATTGAATGAAACTCGTGTGAAAAAAGAACACTGACAAAATCATTATCAAACACAACGTGAACACAGCTATTGTTTCTTTGTTTCTCTCTTCATAATTTTCAAAATAACAACATATTTTTGACAAAAACAGTACTTCTGTACATTATCCAAGTACAGCTGTGAAAAATTATTCATCAATTGTATTTTCTGATGGTCGTCGTCTGTGCTGATTGGTTTGACTACTTCTAGCTTATCACTCTCATAGAGTAGAGGAGGACGAGGCGAACTTCATTATGCGCACAAACACACTGGTGCACACGCACGCACGCACTCAAAGAGAGAGAGATTATATTCAGTTCAGTTCAGCTGTGTGTGGGTTTACCTCCTGAAGTTTATCAGTCTGTGATATTGTTTTTTTTTCCGCTGGTTGGTCGGTTGATTGGTTGGTTAGTTTGTGTATATTTTAAAATAACCAATGTCTTTTTTTTCCCTTTACCCGACATGTGTTGCCTATTGAGATGTATATGTGTGATATTTCCGTTGTTCTTATCTTCCATGATGATTTCGTCTCTTTTTTGTTGTTTGAATTTCATTGTTCAAAATTCGTTTCAATGTCAAATGTGACTTTTTGTTGACATTTTCTGTTCTTTTCTACTTTTTTGTCAATCAATGTACAATGATGTTGAAATGAAATAGTAAGCAGCAGTTCAGTTCAGTTGTGTCTGTGAATGTGTATGTCTGTGTATATATGTATATGTCTGTATACCATCGTTTACTACGGACATATTCAAAATGTTGAACATGACTCAGAGGTTCGTTTTTTTTGTGTGTATAATGTTGGTTATTTTGATGGTGATGTGATGATGTTCTACCTGTTCAATGTATCAATAACAAACTAAAATTGATCATTGAATTCCTCGGTTATCATGTTATCTGTGTTCTTGGTAGAGTTTGTGTTTAAATCCACGAGGGATCTTTCGTTTTTGATGCTTTTTTTCATGTTATATATATATGATTTAAATATAAACAGAGACTTTTTTGCTTAAAGATTCAAAATAATGCAGTATTGTTGGGGATGTTAGATGATCCGGGACTACTCACTTCGAAAAGGGTCGTAATTTTGGATTTTTTTCCATGTTTTCGCGCATAAGTTGCTCAGTTGACCTTGAGATTACATTTCCCATTTGGGAAATCCTTGACTGTCATCACTGGTTGATGGATTAGTTTAGTATGCTATTTTGTGGCTCTACCAAGGATGTTTTTATTATGTATAAATCAAGTCGATTTGTGTGCTTGTAGAATACACTTTCTACTTCTTATCAAGACTTGTTGATATAGTTAGTCGGGCCGAGGATAATCGGATTAGAATAGCCTATCATGTCACTAGATCATTGATCTGCGCTCCGTTTACCGAGTAAGGTGAACTTGTAATATCATTCATGCTTATCAATTGACGATTTTGACCAATTTGGTCTTGTGTGTTGTTACGGGTATGAGGGCGGTTATCACTTCCCGGCTGCCCACACCGTGGAAGGTTGTTTCTTGAGGAACCTGGGAAGGAAAGTAGATTAGTGTTGGTCTTAGAGATCTGAGAGATTGACCGCAGAGTCCAAGTGACAACTGCTTGAGGCCGGTCACACACGGCCTTTTTATGAAAGGTTTTTTGAGTATTAGCTCCGCTCTTGAAAGCCCTTAGTGGGCACCCTTACCCAAGGAGACGGAAATCCGTGAGTTAGGGGAGGTGTGACATTTTTAGGGTCGACCTTTTCTAACCCTTCCTTCCTTGTGAGAAGGCAGCATTGCTGCAGATGCTGGTTGTCCGAGGGAAACACCTTACTGCTGTCACACCCCTCTGCAGTCAGCAGTACGACTTCGCCCTCAGACCTTGAGCATCTGTTTTTAATCTCATCGTTCTCCAATCGACCTGCTGCCTGGAATGGTAGAACCTTCAGGAACATATGTTCCAGCCAATATAGCTCGGTTGGGTCATCACAATAGGCAAGCCCGACCACCACGTCAAGGTAGCAGCTTCGGTTGAGCATATCATTAAACACAAAAAGAAGATATTGTACAACTATGTTGTCACCGGCGATCAAGTTCACAACTTAGGTCAAGCGCCTTAACCTTTTAGACTATTGTATTGACCACTCAATCAATGATTTAATCAATTTGTGCGATTGCGTAATCGATGAATAATCGAATCGAGCCTGTTGATCACTAGTCAATAATGGTTGCTGTCTAAACTGGTAGTCATTTTGTGTTGTAAAAAAAGCACATTGAATGTTAGTTACTACCATGTGTTGTTTCTCATTCAAATTGATACACTGCCGATAGGTCAACTTTTTCCTGTTATTTCTTTCTTTTAAGTCAGTTACAACGTAGAACTTTGTACGTAAGTACATCAGAGTTCAGGTTGCCATACTACATTAGCACAAACAGATGGAATTGTCAGTTCAAATCTCACAGTTGTAGAGATAGTAGAAGTATTAGCAGTAATGGAGAAGATTAGGGAGCGAAGATATGATTCGAGAAGTATAATTCAGTGAGATAAAGTTAGAAAGAGAAAGATAGAGATTATGAGGAATTCAGGTTAGAATTTCATAGAACATAAAGAGATGATGCACCTGGGCTATAGCAAACAACTTTGAGCCATATCGTTCAAGGTCTATAACCATTGATGACTTTCGTCTCGCATACCCCAACCAGGTAGTCTACATCTACCAACATGACTCAGTCCGCGAAACATTATTCCTAGTCTCTTGAAACCACCTTCTAAACTACATACATGTCAGAGCATTTAATATCCAGATATTGTGTCAAATAGATCAACAGGTTTCATTAGCTAGGATGTTTGTAACTACTGAATATAAGAATGGTATATACAAAATCATTCAGTATTCACACACAACGATTAAACATATCATCAGTAAGATTGATTGAACTAATCGTAATAACCATGTTCGTGTTTTTCAATAATGCATAATGCATTAAACATTGATCTGCTTTACTGCTGTAGTTCATTACTACATTTTTGCTTGACATAGGTCAATCAACTTGTCGACAAAGCTGAACTCTGTCTAATTCATTTTCTTGCCAAATAATTATTCATACTTTTCATAGAAAGAATAAGAGGACGTGTGAACGGGTGGGGAGGGGGGTGGTATGACTCATTAGAAACGATCGATCGATCAATCAATCAATTTTTCTATTGTCATGTCTGTACACTAATGAAATGAATTGTTTTGATTGGATGATATTGTTGAACATTTGAATTGACTCAGATGTTGATATTGTAGATTTATTGTTATTATTATTATTGATTTGTGAAGGTGTTTCTCTGTCTCTTTCTCTTTGTGTGTGTGTCTGTGTGCGTTTGATGATTTATGGGAAATGGTAGTTTCAACTTGAAATCCTGTAGATTGAGATGAGAGTTTAACAACATTAATTATTGTTGGATATACCGGTTCAGAGGTTAGGTGTTCACGTGCAAAACCTGCGTTCGAATCCTGTGTGAGTAGTAGGAATGGTGAATTTGCATTGCCATGGATGAGTAGCTCCATACATGTTGTAACGCTTGCTTGAATAATTCCCAGTATTCTCTGACCACACAATACACTGGACAAGTTCCAAAAAATCAAAAACACGGTGGAACAGGAAAAGATTATATTCCAAATAGCAAGGTTAAATGGAAATAAGAAGCCAAGGGTGATGGCGAAGGCGAAGGCAAAAATAGATACAACGTTAGTTTCTTTATAGTATTTACATGAGAAGCTTCTGGATAGTAATTCACGTGATCGACTGGATTAGATTTAGCCAATCAGCGCGCAGCAACGTAGTCATGCTTTAATTCCATCTATGTCCCACTAACACCGACCGTAGCTGCTACCTTGAAGTGGTGGTCGGGCTTGCCTATCGTGATGACCCAACTGAGCTATACTGGCTGGAACACATGCAGGTCCTACCATGCCAGGCAGGTCGATTGGAGAACGATGAGACTAAAAACAGATGCTCAAGGTCTGAGGGCGAAGTCGTACTGCTGACTGCAGAGGGGTGTGACAGCAGTAAGGTGTTTCCCTCGGACAACCAGCATCTGCAGCGATGCTGCCTTCTCACAAGGAAGGAAGGGTTAGAAAAGGTCGACCCTAAAAATGTCACACCTCCCCTAACTCACGGATTTCCGTCTCCTTGGGTAAGGGTGCCCACTAAGGGCTTTCAAGAGCGGAGCTAATACTCAAAAAACCTTTCATAAAAAGGCCATGCGTGACCGGCCTCAAGCAGTTGTCCCTTGGACTCTGCGGTCACGCACCAACACTAATCTATCTTCCTTTTCAGGTTCCTCAAGAAACAACCTTCCACGGTGTGGGCAGCCGGGAAGTGACAACCGCCCTCGTACCCATAACAGCACGCGAGACCAAATTGGTCAAAATCAAATCCTTCCTACACCCCGTAGTACCTCTCTTATCTGCACGACTAACTCTTCTCACATTCATTCATCACAGTGCACAGCTAATGCAGACGATACGAGTTCGCGAAACGTCGTTCCTGGTCTCCTTAAACCTCACTCTAGACTACATGTTGGAGCATTTAATGTACGGACATTGTGTCAAATAGGGCAACAGGCTTCCTTAGCTTGGACTTTAGAATCTCGTGCCATCGATGTATGCTGCGTCTCGGAAACCCGCATACAGGATCCGAGTCACGTCATACACTTGCCACACCATGTCAAAATAAAGAAGCAGCTCGATTTACTCTTCGTGTATCCGGTAGCCCTGATGCTGCTTCCAGGGGTCTTGCTTGCGTAGGCATAGCATTGAGTCGTAGGTCAGAACAATCTCTCCTTGACTGGATCCCAATAGATAGACGATTGTGCGCTGTCCGACTAAACGGGACAGTAAGGACTCGGAAAGATAGGGACAATCGCCGTTGCCTCTTCATCGTATCTGCCTATGCCTCCACTGAATGCAGTTCAGACGAGGTTAAGGATGAGTTTTACAGAAAGCTTTCGGACCTCCTCCAAAAAGCTAGGCGCTCTGATATAGTAATAATGGCTGATGACTTTAATGCTCAAGTAGGTAGACTAAGTGAGCAGGAGAGACACCTAGGTGGATGTTATGGTGTCGCGGCTCAGAGAACAGACAATGGTGACCGTCTGTTGCAAGCATGCTCAGACAACCGCCTATTCTTAGCAAACACTAACTTTAGGCATAAGGAAAAGCATCTGTTGACCTGGCGACCTCCAAAGTCGTCTCAACGTTGGACTCAACTAGATCACATCGCCATCAGCCACCGATGGAGGGGTTCGATAGAGGACTGTCGCTCGTTCTGGAGCACATGTCTAGATTCAGATCATGCCCTAGTGCGAGCGCGTATTTGTTTGAAGCTTACTGGACGTAGGAAAGACACCGTAAGAAAGCCTCTTAGGGTTTTACTTAATGATAATAAGGCGAAAAATATATTTCAGGAGCAACTAGAAAGAGAGTTAAGCAACGATGTAAGTGATTCCCATCCGGAAGCAGGATGGAATGATATCAAAAAGGCTGTGGAAACAGCAGTGATATCTGCTAGTAAGGTTGACCATAAGGCTAGAATGAAACCGTGGATCTCAGTAGCATCCACCGATCTGATGGATGCCCGAAAACTCATCCCACCTGGCTCTGAACATGATGAAGAACGAAGTCAACTTAGGCGCAGACTT